AATTATCCTCCCCCTGCTGAACTTAAAGTACAATCCCTCAATGTAACGTCATTTGATCCCATCCCATTATGGGGTTCCCGGCTATATCCAGCTGTCGGCTGTCTCCAAGCAGAGGTGGTGGGGGAAGTTCTAAACACAAAAGGTCCGCTACAGTGACAACGAAACCCCCCACAAAGCCAACTAACGAACTTAACCTTGGTCCCAACAATAGTAATCTGTCTACCAAAAATTATAAGCAACATTTTACAAATACTTGAGTTATTTTGCTTACAAGCCACAAACACAAAAGGTGCACTAACATGACGCACGGACCCCCCACGAAGCCGAAACTTGCACTTGACTTCGGCCTCAACAACGGTAATCTGCCTGCCAAAAATCATGGACGTCGAATCATGCCTGTCAGAATTATATCGCAAAATCCGCAGTTCCCACAATGCGGCGAGACAATTTCATAGTCCTTCTGACGAAGACAATGAACGGGTACCATGCATGATACCCAACATCCCCATACCAGACTCCGCCAAATACACTCGTGGATGAGCCCCGAGTTTGGAGGGGGGGGGTGACATCCCCTGACCTGTGGACTCTATCTATAGCTCTCCATAACCTCTGTGATGGTCATCTCTCAGAAAACAAGATAAAGATACACCGGCGAGAACGCAGCCGTCGAACTTGTCTCTTCATGCCGGCAAAGGTCATCTGTGAAGAACGATTTCCAACCCGTCATGGGAACGACGCAAGCCTGTGCACGAGTCAGTTCAATTTGTGTTCATAAACCTTTCCGAGACATGTTTTTCACAAACGAATAATTACAAGTGGATAACACACGGATCGCCCCTTCTCAGCCGCAGCGTCAGCGAGTTAATGCGGCAGAGCTGGTCTCGACTATTTACAAGATCGAACTGGCAAGGAAGGTTCAAGCATTGCAATGCAAATGTCATTCATATGTCTGAAGCGAGGTCGTAACAAATAACATTGAAGAATCCAGACAGTGGAATTAGCGCCCAGGATCTACATCATCCCAAACATCTCCATCCTTACAAGATGTATTATATGAATGAATTTTAGGGGTTTATATCGCGAGGCTTTCTGAAGACGACAGGTGCCTCCAGCTGATAGCGGATCCCGATACGTCACTGCCAGCTCTGGGCTTCTTAGTCGGATATTTGTATATCGAAAACACGGCTCAATACACCATGTTTAACGTTTGTGCCTGGGATATGTTCCGACACGATAAGGGAGGACTCGCCTAATTTTGACCGTCTCTACTACAACCTTAGCAACAATAAGGACACGTGACCTGGTGAACAGTCAGAGGTGCTCGGAAGTTTATACCGCCCGCCGCCTCTACTGGATGGTGGATGTTGTGCCCTGGTGTAGATGGCCTCCTAGATCCTGGATCCTGTATTCACTTCCTCATCATAGTTTTATCACTAGCCACTACGTCTACACGCTTACTGCCAACTGCTTTTGCCTTTAAACAAGCATTGTGTCACTCTGCAGATGTTAGCAGCTAAGTCCTAACTTTATTGAACAGGCGTGTGGGGGTGGGGTTGTCCCGTAAAGTGACGACGAATGCAGTAACGGAAACAAGACAAACTTGACATCGTACCTTGACATCGACTTGATCTTTATCTGACCTCGACATGAATGATGAGAAAACCAATATTGGGCTTTCTCAGTGGTCCTCGGCATGGTCTAATGTATGAACTCAGCAATGCGCACAATGAATGTCCACGGTTGCTGTAGTGTGTAGTAGTGTATTGTAGTAAACATAGGCGACTTAACTTCCGTTTGAAGAAGAGAGAACAGATACATAAGGAGATTGATGGGTGGTTGCTGAGAGCGGGCCGGATCCCGTGCCCTGTAGAGACGGGAGAGATGAGTTTCCCGGCTGGTGAGAGCTGACGGCGGGACAGACAGGGGTGATCTCCGCCGATAGTTGTTCCACATTCCGCCGTTTGTTTTATTAAAGCGACGCCGTCAAATACAGACCTGGAGAGTTACGTGACGAATGGGGCTCCGCGGAGCGCATGGAGATAGCACAGTTATCACCTTTTGCGGCCGCTTGAAAGATGGACGGGCGAGGTTCAGGCCAAGGAGACCTCCATCCGTCATCCCGGCACATGATTTACGAAACAATAGCTCGTGCTCCGACTCGCCAGGTTATCATGCATGCATCAGCTACCTCGCCAGGGATAAACGATAGCGGAAGGAAGCGTACTTGACGTGGAGAAGAATGCAGGGACGCCATTGCTACCGGCCAACTTCAGACGCACCGGCGCGATTCTTAAGGACAAACCTCCGAATTGGAGGACGTCCTTGAAGATGTTTCACAAGACGAATGTGCGTCTAAAAGTAACTACAGGTCGATTACCTCATCAGGGAAATGCGAGAAGAAACAAGGTTGGATGTTCTACCTCAATGTCATGTCTAGGACGACTGGTACACTTACTGCTGGGGCACTTAACTTTTGCTTACGAGAGGCCGGACACGTAGCCCTATCGTAGTCATGTTGGACATTTTTGTTTCTATCCAAGTAGTATCAAACATACTGAAGCAACAAAAACCAGTATATATCCTTACCTAAATGGTTAGCAGCTGAGATGAAGCAAATGTATCTACTGTACTTTTTCTGTGCCATGTGATTCGTCATGTATGCATGTAACATGCATGCGTTTGAGCCTTGGAAGATTAGCCCGGCAGGGCTAAAAGGTTTCGTAATAAATGAAATAAATGAAAGTGCTGTTGTTGTCATTAGAACTGCTGATACATTTGCAATCATCCGCATTGCAGTGTTCGGTTTGTTGTTATACTTCCGCTCCGTTGACAGAGGTATTATGTTTTCGGTGCGTTTGTATGTTTGTTTTCTTGTGTGTCCGTCCTTATTTGAATAGTTTAATGTGAAGTCACATGGAGTTAGGAGGAATTGGTGTAACTGCAGAATAACAGGAAGGTCTACTTGGAGGTCAGAATCTCCCCACTGGCTGGATTTAAGTGAATGGCCGTGGAGGAGCCCAATAAAACAAGAAATTCCCGCAGAAGTATGCATGCACAGTCTTTGTTATACTTTCTAATGTACTGTAATGTGGAGCTAGACCTAATCTTCTCGGTGAGATCAAATGTACTCCAACTGCAGATATGTGTATGCAGGAGAGGTAACTTGCGGCCGTGGCTCCCCGAGTGACTGAAGAATCGTTTCCACACACCGATTGGTCAGTTGCTGATTGGTCAGGATTTACATGACGTAAGGCCCCCTTTTTACTAGAAAGCGATGGCTGAGCGACCTTTGAGTGGCCAAAATTGGATCTGGTTTTATCAGTGGAATATGGTGCCCGAAATAAACGTCAGATTTAAAAGACAACTAGACATAATCCATGCATGTAGAAAACATAAAAAGATTAGTTCTTTATCTATGAAATTCGTTGAGCGACAAGTCAAATGTTTGGTCCCTCAGCGGTCGCTCAGGGGTCGCAGCCTTTAGCGGACTGGGGGTGTAACTGACATGGAGACGTGTAAGAAACATATCGGCAGATTTGTGAACTCGGTCGACGGGCATTTGACAGAACCGATGGGACAGAGAGCTAGAAGGTTATCATAGGCCAGTGACTGGAAACCAGAAACGTCTGATTGTCCCCTGACAGACAAGCCTTAGATGTTCTTTGTAAAACGTAAGATATGTACCGTAGCCTGCACCAGCGGCCAGTTTATGAATCCGTCAATCAATCAATCAATCAATCAATCAATCAATCAACCAATCAATCATTGAGATTTGGAGAGCCTAATTGACGTCGACATGCTCCACATTTCAGCTTATCGCAGAATGTGCGATACCATTTCCAAGGTCATGGTGCAACAGCATTCTTCTCTCTATATGATGGCGCTTAAATTTCTGTCATAACCTTTATAGTCATGGGGATGTCTTACTTGATAGAAAATTAGATTTTCCCAATTCCGTCTGCCTTTCCAAATTTAAATGACCAGTGTTTCATATCGTAACCTTTTAATGTCAGTCTGTTACATATACAATCACTGATATTACAGCCAGCGTCAATATCATGGATGCGTAATGTTCTTTATATACCTTTCTTGTCGTTGTTGAGATCTATCACATTTGTGGAAGGATTGACATAACAGGTGACTATCGCTGTTTCAATATGTCAATCCTGAGACCAGACTGCAATGTAATAAACCTCTCACACCGGGATGGACCCTACTCTTATAGATATTAAAGTGTGCTGGGGTCTCTAACGTGCTCGAGGCGTGGCTATTCTCTAATACGGGAATTTTACTGTGACTTTATGTCCCATCCGAGAGCACGTCCCTAACCGAAGCTGTGATGACTGAGTCACGACTGGTGACCACATGAACCAGCGGAGGTCCCGGCTGAAGCCAAACGCTGCAGTTAGCGGCGGCGGGTAGCTTTGCGGCTGCTCGGCTTGGTGCTTCCTTGATGTTCTCCGTATTCATAACGCAAAATGAAAGTTGACACGGACGAGCGGACTCGCCCCAGGCCCGGCCCGGAGAGGCAGCAGGCCCTAAATATGAATGGTGGACAGCTAGCCCGGATCACATGTCCCGCATACCTGGCATTTGTGTAAGGTTAGCTTGACGTGGAACTGGCCTGTTGGTTGTGTGGTGGGTTCCACCCGGTAACGACCGCACCGTGTGTGTGTATGTACACGCGTCTGTGTACTATTGCATGGGAAATATTGGGGGAAGGACATAGCTCCAGTAATATGACATGACATTCTGAGAGGCTGAGTTTTTTTTTGCACGATAGGAATAGAAAATATGAGATATCCCTTGTCTAGACAGGAATATGTTATGCTTGGCGCCCGATCTTTAGCATCTTATACCAAACTGTCATGATGCCAACGGCGAAGCTACCTCTCGGGGGTAAATTGTTTCCATCCCTGTCTCTACCCATCGGGGGAATGGTTTCGCCCGTGCGGTGCTCCAGTGTTCGAGTCGGGAGGCGTGCAGCGAAAGGATACACCACCTGGTATTTTTGGGCCGGTCATATATGGCATAGAGTCATTGGCAAAAATGCGTATTCGACAGTACGACAAGTATGTGCCGTATTTAGCTGGGCTCCATAACCCATAGCTGACTGGGGAAGGGAGACCGCTCCTGGAACACGCTCGGCTTGTCGCGACTGTTTCTCTTTGGTAACCGGTGGCGGTTTTTTATCCGTACAAGCGAGATGAGGTTGGTTTTGTGGACGGTTTGTTTGCTGCTGGTGTCGGGATGGGGCGCGCTGGCGGACGAACCGGATAGCCCTGAGGACGAGTTCATGTTCCCACCCTGGGACGGAGACAACCGCATCTTGAACATCGGACAGAAGAACTTCAAGAAGGCCGTGAAGGACAGCGAGGTCCTCATCGTCTTGTTCTCGGCCGACTTCGACGAACACTCGGAAGGGGACACCCAGGAGGAGGTGTCGGAATACGCCTTACAGGTGCGCAGCTTGTCCACAAGTGTTTTTCGGCCATAGTGATCCGGGTGGGCAGTAGGGCGGGGTGGGGTTGGGACCGTGACCATCAACGCTCTTTCCCGACAGCTATGTTTGCATTGTCTCGTGACGGCTGTTTGCTAACTTCTGTTCCACAACTTGCGACATGTAGCCCGCGCAGAACTTCTTGAGTGACACTTGGTTGTGTGCCGTACTATGAGGGAGATAGTGCATCTGGGAGAGATGCAGCCAAGGGTCCGTAACTGGGTCACCGCAGCATACTTACATGCCTTCACAGACGTCAGTGTTAGAGTGCTTAAGGCTGATATATAGTGCGGACTTGGGGGAGAATATTTTTAGAGACCGTCCCTTGAATGTTGACTGCGTTTAATTTTACCCGCTTAGTACACGCGCGACACGATCGCATACGGCGTGATTACAGTCCACGGACGCCCCTACACACGGCGCTATTTGTAACGTAAGCGTCGCCAAACGATCGGTAAAACCTTATGATTAATGAAGTACAGATTTCTGCATTGATACCGTTCATACATGAGGGCTTAGAAATGCCAGGAGCGCTCGTGGACTAGAATGTGAAATTAGACATGTTGAGCCGGCTCGGTCCGCTTTCCAAATTTCGGAGCGTTCACATACCAACCATCTAGTCCGAAAATGGAAGGCCTCGAGAGGAAATTCTCCAACCCCGTTAGGGGCACGTCCCCGCGGCCTCCTCAGCCCCCAGATTAAATCAACTCATTTTTGCCATCAGAACGGGGGCAGAAGCTGTAGATAACCCATGCTGATGATTTATCGTGCCCACCCGTCTCCCCGCCGCCGAACACTCGCAGTTTTCCCGGCCGGAGAAGACCGGGGATGCGGCCGCTTCCCTGACTCTGTTCCCCGGACCCCTGACGACGGCAAATCATATCACAAATGACTATTCCTGTCAGCGTCGGCGACCTCCTATCGAAAATCAATATTTTCAATTATTTGGAGGAAAACGGCCCGCATCCTAAGCAGCACCCCGAAAACCGCCGGGTCGGACGGCCATTTGGCCGACTTGTTTTCCGATCCGTTCGCGTTTTATTCGACCACCTGCTCCAAAACCGGAGCGACCTTGCCAAATAACTATAAAGTGTCCGCGAACACCATTCTACGCGCGGCGACTGCTCCAGAATACCTTATCGGTGACTCTACTGCCGTGCCATTTCGTGCACTGCCTGCAATTGGGACTTTGTAAAGCAGAAATCAAACGGCCCGTTAGCAGCATGCGCACCCGAGTTTCCGTTCGATTCGTTAGCAAACAAATCATCTCCATTAACCGTGACTGACGGCGACTATTGGAACATGTCGCTATGGCTACCCAGATAACAATAGAACATCGTCGTAACTTTCCTGGCAGACATGCAGACAGCAGTAGACTATAGTGTGTGCGCGCGCGAAGTACTTTGATTTGGAACTAGATCATTTTTGATCATTTAAACTACCCGGCGGCAACTTTCACTCGCATCACACACCGCACTTGTACCTCCCAATGAGGCAGATTCAGGTGAACCTTAAGAGTGAATCTCACGCTCCACCTGTCTTAATTACAGCGCAAAATCTCCGTAGAGACGGCAGAAGGGAAAGGGGGCGTTCAGTAGAATAATAACGGGAGGGCTGCAGGAGGAAGTACGCTCCGATGATATTCATTTTTATAATTTCTGTTTTCCTACCACGGTGGCTTCTCATGACGTACTCCTGAACATTGCCCCAGGGGAACACAGTGCACACATGAACAGAAAGCATCAAGATGCAAACAATCAAAAGCGGTAACAAATCGTCCAAACCGTTATCCTCAGTCATTGTCGTTATCTGATGCCTCCTTGGCCACGTTTGAAGGGCATGTACAGTGCACAGTGCACGGATAGGGGAGGGAGATGAAAGGTGCGGAGATATTTACGCGCGGCGCTATCATCGCCAAGTTACAGGGCAGATAACGTGACAAATGTGAAACGCCGTAAAGATCAGATTAACTACCCGAACCGTGTCATCTGACCTGGCGCGGACTGTGCAGTTCTAATGGCAGTAGTGTTCCTTTGTATCGACTGCCTGAAGCACATTGATGACTGAGATATCAGATCGGGTCCTCAGATCCGGCAATGCACTACAGTTCTAACAAAAGTAATTATTCTTTGTATCGCCAATGAGTTTGGTCAAAGAACAGATAGAACTGTTAAGATTCTCAGAAGCATATGTAAATGAACGTGCAGAACAAACCAGAATTGCACAGTTTTACGACCGGGATTGAATCCAGAGCCTAGTGATGCCATCTGTAAGAGGAAACGGGGCTCTACGAAATGACAGCACTAGATCGCATTGTCAGCTACAAATTTACAACGCGGGCAATAGAGATTGGGATATATGTATACATGCTGATTTTTTTGCCTTCGCCTTGAGGGTTATGTTTTCGGTGCCGTTTGTGTGTGTGTCTGCCTCTCTGTGTGTATGCGTGTGTAAGTTTAATGGTTTAATGGCAGATAGCTCTTGGACTCAAGAAGAAGAGACAAATATTCCGGTCCCCTTGGTAGCTTGTTTTGGAACTGCAGGGATCGTATTTCTTTGAGACTTTGACACTGATACGTAACGTAACGTAACGTGGGCAGCACCCCGACTGTCCCTGTTGAAGAATGCCCGTATGATCATCTCCTTGTCGACCCGACCACCTGGCTGGTGATGATGAGAAATGTGACTTGAGACTCCTTCGGGACCGGAAGTCTACCGCTCCGTAATTAAGAAGACGTATTAGCTTCATGCTAATCGTAGATAATATAGACGGATGGAAGGAGAATGTGCTCCTGTATGATAAAGCTGTACCGTGTACAACGCGATGGCCCGGTGGGCGAGTCAGATAAGACAAGGCGTGATTAACAGTTAATAGGATGTCTGCAGGAGAGACCGGTGTCACGGGTGTGGGGAATATACTCTGCCGTACAGAAGGGAAATGTTCCTGGTGTATTTGACCAATCAATCAATTGAAGAGTCATGTCATGGGCTTGTGATATTCTATTTAGTAGAAATTGATGATGAAGAAGTTTTGTTGACGCAACAAAAAGGACAGCGACTTTCGTAAGGTTAACTACAAAGTAAGAATACAAAATTCTACTTACTAACAATGAGGGTTAACTTAAGTGAATCTATATACTTTTTCACAACCAGACGAGGCTAATCGTGGATTTCAGCATCTTTTCGACTAACAAAGCAATCTTTTATATCTATCTGGTTTGCATTGTGAGAGTTCTTCAAAACTGAATGTGCGCTGAGAGAGACTGATGTCACAGGTGTGCGATATATTCTCTTCCGTACAAAAGGGAAATGTTCTTTGTGTGATTGATGTTATGGTTATGTGGTATTCTATCCAGTATAAATGGCGTAATGTTCTTTGGGAAGGTGATCTTACAGCTCTTTGTGCGCTTGAAGAGATTGATGTGATTGTTGTTTGATGCTCTCTACGGTACAAACGGAAGACTTTAGCAGGATAACGAGAGTTATTGTGTATCTTTTCTCAGCTCTAAAAGATTATAAAAATTCCACAACAACCAGTACAGTCAACTTTGATTGAACTTATTTCTATGAAGAAACATTTCAGCTAACCTAATCTTATATCGATTTCCTTTTTCGTCATATATTTGATTTTGTTTCGAACCATAAAGCAACGAAAATCAAAGCCATTGCCAGAAATAACCTCCGTATTAGAAATGACATATCGAAGCTTGCAAACAACCTTCAGCTAAAGAACCTTCCGCAGCGCAAGGTTAACAAACTACGGACATCTTCCCTCCGCAGATCTCCCGGTCCTGATTACGTACCGAACGTGCCCGAGTCGTGTAATGAGAAAGGACTAATAGAGCGCCTGATTGAATTGCCCCGTGGGCCGAACTGATATCTCCCGTTCCTCGCGGCCTTTTGTTGTTAAACACGCGCATCAATTGTGCTTCAGCCTCTCCATCACCATCAAAGCGCGGCCCGTCAGAGTGGCCGATGTGCCGGGGATGATTACCCATCTCTCCCTGACGACTAGATCTGGGGATGACCTGATAACTTTCGGAGATGTAGATCGGGGTGGTGGGGTAGGGGCTTGTCCTGTTCTGTTATTTAGTACACAGTTGAACCTTCCCCTGCGCCCATTGGTACACAGTTTAACCATTTCTCATTGCTGCCTCCTTGCCATTATTACTAAATGTGGGTATGATCCGATGACTCGCGGATGTAGATCGGGGTGGGGGTGCTTTCTGCTCAAGCATCGGTAACCTGTCGAACCCTCTGCCGCCGCCGTCTCCCAGCCGTCCCGATACGGCAGGTAATCTCTTCATCTTCCGCGGGACATTGATGTGATTTAGCCTTCCCCATTAAACGTCTGACATTTATAAGCCGGGGTCGCGCCGGCAACGATTGGAGTCAACACAATTTCCTCCCCGGTCCTGTGGGGTATCGGCCGATCTGCAGATTCGCTGCCCTCCACATAAAACACGTCAGACTGACATCGGGCGCAGCGCATCCATCAGCCGGCCGGCAGGGTCTGAAGCTGCGGGGAGAAACACGGCTACACGTCGCGTTGCCTAGGTAACGTCTCAAAGTTACGTCTTAAAGATGCAACTCTCTAAGCGTGAGCAAAACGCTAGAGATACAGAAAACAGAACCATCAATGAGGTCATGTTTTCCTCCGGGTAGAAACCGTAGGTCATGGCAAGATATGCAGAACCATTAGGTGATTGGAAATCACCTATTACACATAACCCCTTCCTTTGACACGAAAGCCGGTCTGTAATGACGGTAACCCCACAGCCGGCCCGGACGATATTGAGTTCGCGGCAAGACGATCCATTTAGCATTTTACCTCCATGAAAAATGGAGGTATTGTTTTTGGCGTGTCTGTCTGTATGTCTGTCTGTCTGTCTGTCTGTCTGTGTTTCCGCAACTTTGTGGTCAGCATAACTTCACAACGCCTTTATGGTA